ATGCACAGCGTTTGTTGCAAAAAAGACCACTTGACTTTATCGTAAGCTTTCTCGAAGTCAATTTTGAATAAAACCCCATTTAGCTTATTCTTATGCAACTCGTGGATTGTCTCATGAAGAATTATTGCCCCTTCCATGATATTCCTACCCGGAAGGAAGGCCGTCTGGGAAGGTCGAATGATTTTTTGGGCAACAAGAGCAATTCTATTTTAGGCTACTTTTGTAAAAAAAATTGAAACTGACATTAAGCAAACAAATAGGTCTGTATTGTTCTATCCTGTTTGCTTCACTACCCTTTGGTAGCAGGATTATACTTCCAAAATTTAAACTATGTAAAGGCAGCTCACCCCTATGAAAGTCCTTAAATAACGCCATTAAGTCATCTTTGATCACCTCCCAAAAAACTTGGTAGAATTCAACTAGAAAACCATCTTGCCCAGGGGCGGTATTATGCTTCATTTGGAAAATGGCCATCCTGACTTCAGCCTCGGTAAAGCTATCAGCTAGGATTTCATTTTCCAAATTTGATACTTGAGGCATATCATCAGTCCGTGACTCATCCAAGAACATGGTGGGTACCTCGGGAGGACCAAATAGGTTTTTGTAATAGTTGGTGATATACTTTTTTAGATTGGAATCACCACTAATTACTCCTTCCTCCTGTTCCAAACGGAATATCCGAGTTTTCTATGTTTACCGAACGCTACCAAGTGAAAGTATTTGGTATTCGCATCTCCCTCAAGTAAATTCCTGACTTTAGCTTGTTGGTACCATTTGAGTTATTCTTCTCTTAGAAGATCAGCAAGCCTATCATTTAACACATGTTTAAGATTTACTTCTTCTTCATTGAGATGTATGGATTCTACTTTTTTGTCTAATTCATCTAACTTATCTAGCAACGCTTTCTTCTCTTTTTTATATGCCCCACTAGTGTTCTTCGCCCACCCCCTTAAGTATTGTCGAAGCCGCCTAATTTTAGCCTGCCATCTTTCTAAAGGGGTGTTACCCATCTGCACGCTAGCCCAAATCTCCTTGACCATGTCCATGAAACCTTCTCTAAGTAACCAACCAAGCTCAAATTTAAAGGAAGGTTGGGAGTTACTAGAAGAAGGATTTCCTGTATCCATAAATAACGGCGTATGGTCCGAAATTTCTCTGGTTAAAGCCTGAACAGATGATTTGGGGAACTTTAATTCCCACTCAGTGGACATTAAAATTTTGTCCAACTTTTCAAAAGTCGGGTTCTGTAGGTTGTTTGCCCATGTAAATTTCCTACCCGAGAGGTCTAGCTCCTTAAGATTGAAAGCGTCAATGATAGCATTGAAAAAAAAATGGCCATCTGTCATTGTAATTATAGTTGCTTTTCTCCCTTGGCCCCCTAATAATGTTAAAGTCACCCCCTAGAATCATAGGCAGCAATTCCTTAGCACAAAGGTGGGCTAATTCCGTCAAAAAACTTTCTTTAAGACTGGGTTGAGCAGCACCATACACAGAGACAAGTAGCCATTGGAAGCCATCATCTTTGTTCCTGATTTTTAAACTTAACAAAGAATTCTCCTTCTTCTATTTCTCCAATATCAAACGTGAGAAGATTAATCCCCAACAGCCTAATATATAATGTTCGTGCAGCAAAGTGGACGTACGAACTGCGTGGTACGGTACTATTATTATGCAAATGTTCGCGTCTTGCCACACATGCATGCAGATCATATCATCATATGTATCATCAGTCTCCAACAATTTATCTGTTATATTAGCAAGCATACATATATAGCCATATATACTAACCATTTTTTCTACAGAGAAAAGCTAGGGTACCGATGATTGATGGCCAATGAAAAATCAATGCTACCGGCCGACCGGCCGGACGGCCGGGGCCGATGGATGTACCTAGGAATCTAGCTGCTTGTTGCCGAGATCAATGTTGAAAAGTGGAGGGGCGTACTTCTCCTTCCACATGTACATACAACAATAATATCACAGAACTAGTGTTCCATTAATTGGGGGGTTTAGCAGAATTAATTGGGGGTTATTTATTTGGCTGTGTATATTTTTCGTGGTTATAGAGGCCCGATTAATGGATCCGTTATCTAAAAAATTAATTGGGGGTTATTAGCTAGGGAAGAAGCTTTTCTAGCAAGCTGCAGAGCGTCGTTCAACGATGGCCAGGAGCCCAGGAGGATTCAGGAGTCGTATCGTACGTACCTACTACTAGCTTCTAGATATCAGAGAACACTATGTTTCTGTGGCTATCACCTGACCTTTAATTTTATATTAGAGAGTGCGCCCGCAGCTTGTTATTGACACTTAACAGCATAGCCTTCTTAAAATTAATTAGTAATTATTTGAACACCAAGCTAGCTTTTAATTTATTCAACAACACACATGTTACTCCCCAAAAGTGCCAATACTTTTTCTGAAATCACAAAGCAGCATGCATACATGCGACCTCGCGTGGGCTCGAAATTTTGAAGGCTAGCTAACATGGCTTCTTCTAGTACGTAGCTATTGGGTAAGATCCCATTGGAGGAGATACAGACGCACGGAAAGCGTCACATTATGTAGGACATGATGTAGTGCGCGAAATTGCATGCATGATGCATGGTCCTTGAGACAAATCATCAGGTCACGAACTTTTCTTGCTGCTATTGGATTTTTAACAGCAGCTGTACCTGAGAGATGCAGCTGTACTGCTCGAGGGGAGCAGCCGGCCGGAATCCCACAACAAGATAGCCAGAACGGAACCACCTGAGTGCGATAATACAAGGTGAGATCCGGACCGCCGGCCGGCCAGCAGCAACCGCCCTCGTGATTTCAAGCACAGCCTCTCATCTCTGCTGTCCATGTCTGACTCTTTGTTGTACTGGATCATCGAATATTATTTGAATTCAATCTTAAGTTTATACTACTAGCATTTCTTCCCGAAACTAGGCTAAATGTACGTACTCCATCCATCTAAAAAGGTTGTTGTTTTATTGTCCAGATTCATTCCTAAAACAATTGTTCTTTTTGGACGGAGAGAGTAGGTCCTCTTAAGAATTATGTCAGAGAAGAATTGCTTGTGTGATACTTTGATTAAGCGCGCGCGACTTTGTTCACACTTCTGCGTTCTAGCAAAATAGAAAAAAAGTAAGGAAAGTATTTCTTCATGATCAGTATATAGAGTATCGATGGCTCCAACCAGGAGTAAAGGTCCACCTTTAGTCTCGGTTGGTGTCTCCAACCGAGACTAAAGGTCCACCTTTAGTCTCGGTTGGTGTCTCCAACCGAGACTAAAGGTCCCCTGCCACTGTGCCGAGCGCAGTAGCCGTTGAGCAGGGACCTTTAGTCCCGGTTGGAGACATCAACTGGGACTAAAGGTCTCTCTAGTCCCGAGCGTAAAAAATGCCGGAACTAGATCCCATTTTAGCCTTAAATGAAAGGTATGTTCTCTACTAGTGTATTAATGAAGTGCCGTACATTGCCAAATAATAAATCTGTCCTTGTCTAAATGGGTTGGGGATCAATGAGACAAATAAATCAGCTCCGAAAACAACCTTTTGCCATCCTATATATTATATTATTTTTTGAAAGAAAAAAACACATGCAAGACCCCTCCTAGCAGATGGTATTCCGATGAGATAGACTGTATGCAAGTACTAGAGGACCAAATTTATTGCCACTTAGGCCTGGTTTTAATCCAGGGTGTCAAGTTTTAGGGTGTCACATGGGAGTGTCGCATAAAGTGTTCGGATACTAATAAAAAATTACAGAATCCGTCAGTAATCCGCGAGACGAATTTATTAAGCCTAATTAATTCATCTTTAGCACATGTGTAACTGTAGCACTTTATTATCAAATCATGGACTAATTAGCCTTAAAAGATTCGTCTCGCAAAGTAGTCGTAATCTGTGTAATTAGTTATTTTTTTAGTCTATATTTAATACTCGTACTATACATGTGTCCAAACATTCTATGAGATAGGGTGTAAATTTTTGGAGGAACTAAACAACGCCATAGACCGGCTTCCACTTCGAGTAGGAATAATTAACGGTGGACGTACCAGCGAGGGCCGAGGGCTATATGGGGTCAGCTCGGAACCATGGAAACCAAGCATGCATGGTGGTGGCGGATCGATTTCAATGGATAATTTAACTGGAAATCATGGCTATTGGCTAGACATATATACAGATGGAAAGATCTTCTTCGAGCATGAACACAATGTCTCCATTTTAAATATACTACTCTAGTCCACTCTGTCCAGGAAATCGATGGGGTTTGGTGGGTTCTCCGCTGTTATCTGCTTCGGATATCTTTATGCCCTTGGCAAGCCTGCTTGATGACAATTAACAACGCAAATGACATGCCTGTGCGACACGCCATCATGCATCATCATGGGCAACAACTGCGGTGCATGTGGTTTGCTCCGACGATCGAGTGCCTTAGATGGCAAGGCAGCAGTTGCAACTTGCAAGTGTGCATGCACAGCTGATGATAACTGGAAAAGAAAACAAATGACTTTCACTTGCCTCATGAATCGTCATCATCTTTTACCTTTTTTTAAATTAGTCATCATCTTTTACTTTTTTTTTTCTTCAACTGGTAAATCCTGAAGATTGACGAAGTTCTTTCATACATCTCGTCTACTATTAAATGCCTTGAAAAATTCGTTCCACACGGAGTCGGACATGCCCTTTCCTAGTCATCTTCTTTTACACGATGGCAGTGCGTCGCAGTAAGCTCCAACAAGTGGAGATGGACCTCGGCTCGGCCCATCTTGAATAAGCCCGTGAAAAAACTGCGGAGAGCACTGGGCTAAGAACTCAATGGCTCTCACGGGGGATTTGGCCCGCAGTGCACACGCAGCACGGCCCGCTCTCCTCGACACGAGCCCAGACCAGGCCCAGCCTTCTCTCTCGAGTGGGGCCCCACCCGCTGACTCCTCTTCCAGGACTCCGGCCGAGGCACCAACGAGCCTCCCCAGGCAGGGCAGTCTGCTACTGTCTCCAGTCGCGCGCACCATGGATCCCCCGCCGCGGCGGCTAGCCGCCCCGCTCCTCCTCCTGCTCCTGCTCCTGCTCCTCGCCGCGGCCTCCCCCGCCGCGCGCGCGTGGAAGAAGGACGAGTTCCGCAACTGCAACCAGACGCCCTTCTGCAAGCGCGCTCGGATCCGCGCCCCGCACTCGCTCGACGCCCCGCTCTCCCTCGCCGTCTCCCCCGACGGCTTCATCTCCGCCGAGCAGTCCCACCCGTCCCGCTGGCGGCCCCTCGTGCTCCGCCTCTCCGCGCTGCCCCCGCACGCGCTGCGGCTCCAGATCGATGAGGATTACTCCACCGCCACCCCGCCGCACCGCCGGTTCCACGTCCCCGATGTCCTCCCGGACCTCGAGGCCCGCACGCTCCACCTCCCCGAGCCCAAGACCGCCGCCGGCGTGTCCACCGTCGCTCTCTCCTCCGACCTTGACGTCGTCGTTAAGCACGATCCGTTCGAGCTTACCGTCCGCCGCGCTGGGTCGGGCGATCCGGTGCTCTCCTTCAACTCCCACGGCCTCTTCGACTTCGAGCCGATGCGGGAGTCCAAGCCGGAGGACGAGACGTGGGAGGAGCACTTTCGGAGCCACACCGACAAGCGCCCCCGCGGTCCGCAGTCCATCACCTTCGACGTATCTTTCTATGGCGCCCACTTCGTCTACGGTCTCCCGGAGCACGGGTCCACCTCGCTCGCCCTCCGCCCCACCCGCGGTCCGGGGGTCGAGGAGTCCGAGCCCTACCGCCTCTTCAACCTCGATGTCTTCGAGTACCTCCATGAATCGCCCTTCGGTTTGTATGGCTCGATCCAGCGGAGATGCAGATCGATGTGCTTGCACCAGGTTGGGATGGGGCCACTGCCCAGGAGAACGGGCGGATCGACACACTGTGGATGGCTGAGGCTGGTGTCGTTGATGCATTCTTCTTTGTTGGTTCTGAGCCAAAGGATGTGATCAAGCAATACATAAGTATGTGAACTGATTGATCATACCACTATGACATGGAAGTCCGAGTTAGTGAAGCGTGTTTTCTATCAAATTGACAGTGAAGCAATTCTTCAGATACCTTTAAGCATGAGAAAACAGAAAGATTGTTGGGCTTGGCATCATGAGAAAAATGGTCTCTTTACTGTACGCTCTGATTATCGAATGTTGATTGAGCTTAAGAAAAGCAGGGAGGATTACTTTGAAGGCCGAGCTAATTGTTCTGATTCTGCAACAAGTCAAAAAGAATGGAAAAAACTATGGGGTATGAAGCTACCATGAAAAATTTAAGTGTTCTGCTGGCGTCTTGCTCTGAATTCAATTCCAACTGCAAGTGTGCTGAAAAGCAGGAACCTGACAGCTACATCTCATTGTGGAGTTGTTGATGATACTTGGAAGCATTCTTTGCTTTTCTGCACAATGTCCAAATGTGTTTGGGCTCTGCTGGATGAGGATATAACAGATTTAATTGCTCATTTGCGCATCTCTGACCCAAAGCAATGGGTTACCTTTATGTGCTGCAATATTCCTCAAGCTGATGGGATACAAGTCCTTGTTACTTGTTGGGCAATATGGCGGGCAAGAAGGAAGGCAATTCACGCGGGAGTCTTTCAGACACTTTTCTCCATAATGGTTATGATCAATCGACAGATTGAAGAACTAGAAATGATAAGGGGGAATGGAGCTTAAGAGAGGGAACCAACTTCAATTTAAACAAAAAAAAAAACTCGGCTTTGGAAAGCACCAGATCAAGGTAAAGGCAAAATAAATACAGATGCTGCTGTAGACCGAGCAGGATCCAAAGGAGCTGTTGAAGTGGTTTGCCGTAATGATCGAGGGGAGTTTATTGCAGCTAGTGCTATGGTTATACCAAATATAACTGAACCTGAGACTCTGAAAGGAATGGCTTGCTTGGAGGCACTAGCTCTTGCTGAAGATTGTGGTATTCGAAGGATTATAGTGGCGTCAGATTGCCTAAACATGTGTCGAGTAACATTAATGAAATGCCTCTTTGTGCTTATGTGATGATCCTCAAGGATATCCAGGAAAGGGAAAAATCCTTTGATTATGTGCGTTTTGCACATGAAGGTAGGGAATGCAATAGGGAGGCTGATTGTTTAGCTAAATATGCATGTTCTCTTGGAGCTGGCCGTCATGTGTGGCTTAGTTCTCCTCCTGTAATTCTGAATGTAAACATTTCAATTGAGCAATAACTAGCAAATATGCCCGTGCATTGCAACGGGAAAGAAAAAGCTATGAAACATTTATAAAAAAGGCTATCAAACAACAACAACCTTTAAGTCCCAAACAAGTTGGGGTAGGCTAGAGTTGAAACCCAGCAGAAGCAATCGGCACATGAATAGCTGTCTTCCAAGCACTCCTATCTAAGGCTAAGTCTTTGGATATATTCCATCCTTTCAAGTCTCCTTTTATTGCCTCTACCTAAGTTAACTTCGGTCTTCCTCTGCTTCTCTTCACGTTATCATCCTAGCTTAGGATTTCACTACGCACCGGTGCCTTTAGAGGTCTCCGTTGGACATGTCCAAACCATCTCAATCGGTGTTAGACAAGCTTTTCTTCAATTGTTGCTACCCCTAATCTATCGCGTATATCATCGTTCCGAACTCGATCCCTTCTTATATGACCGCAAATCCAACGCAACATACGCATTTCCGTGACACTTATCTGTTGAACATGTCGTATTTTCGTAGGCCAACATTCTGCACCATACAACATAGTAGGTCTAATCATCATCCTATAAAACTTGACTTTTAGCTTCTGTGGTACCATTTTATCACATAAAACACCAGATGCTTGCCGTCATTTCATCCACACTGCTTTGATTCTATGGCTAACATCTTCATCAATATCCCCGTCTCTCTGTAATTAAAAAAAAGCTATCAAACATTCATAGAAAATGAGGGCCAAGATAATACTTACCTATTTATGTTTTATCCTTCTATAAATTTTTAAAGCTATATTTTATTTTAAGAAGACTATAACATCCATAATATTTAAGCTAATGTTGGCAACACATGATGTCTTATTAAGTATGTATCAGATTAAAATACAATCTTGATATATTTTTTCTTCTATTGCAAAGCACAAACATATTTAGTTTTAAATATATCGTAATTTTAATTTCATACTATCTATTTGTTGGTACAGTTCAATATTGAGTTCCGATGACCTTTGTGAACCCACAAAATTTTGTAATTCTATTTTTGATGATTATATATATAGTCAGTAAGGAGTTAGTTGCTGACGTATCAAGGACTGCCATATCCTTTGATGATTATAATAAAAGAACTCTCCTAATTTTCCACATGGTTGCCCCCGTCATGTCTTTCACCGGTATATGCATAAACTTTAGAGTCACATTTGTGTAGACTAAACTGGACAACAAACTGCTCAAGATTTCAGGTTACGATTTGATTAATTAGACCATTGACTATATCATATTGTTGTAATAAGATATTTTTTTAATTTAAAACTACATCAATGATTTACCACATCAATAATTTAGTGGTGAAATTATCTATTTTATTAAGAAAGAGGTCTAATTGCTCAAGTACCATAATATTTGTTTATTATTAGTTTTATATTTATGGTGAAAATAAGAAAAAAGGGTAAATAAAAATGGAAAAATAGTATATAGGAAGAGGTTCAGTGCTTGATTTTTTTTCCATCCCCATCGGCCATCGAGCTTCCCTTATTTGCTTGTTAATTTTTCTATGTTCATTAAAGGGTTATTTGGATCGGTACCACTATAATTTTTGAACTTCTGAAATACGCCACTACAATTCATCTATTTGGAACCATGTCATTATAATTCTTTTATTGTTTGAAATATGCCACTTTGTACACTTTTGATACTGTTGGACCCATTGCAGACCTATCAATTTTCATATTATCTAAAAGGCCCCTGTCCCTCTCTTTCCCCACATCACTGACGTGTGAGCTCCACTGTCTTCTTCCTCCTCTCTTTTCCTCGCTGGCTCTGGTCCGCATGCAGCCAAGCTCGGGTGGGCTCTGTGCCCGCGCTGCAGCCCACTGTCGCCGCAGTCGGCCCCCATGCCCGCGGTGGATTAAAGTCCCCCTCGGCCGCGTGCTCGCGCCAGCATCGCGCGACCCCACGATTCCCGCTGCCGATGTCGCGCACCACCTTGTTGCCGTCAGACGAGACCTCTACATTGCCGTGCCTCGCCGCCGACGCCGCCGCCGCCTCCTCGCCGCAAGCTCGCTCACCATCGCAGCGTGCATGCGCTCGCAAGCCGGGCTCCCGCACCATCGCCTTAACGCCATGGTCAGTAGCTCGCAGCTCGCCCGCCGCCTCGCCAGCCGCTCGTGCTTGTGAGTCCGACCTCTCGCACTACGGTCCAACGCCATGGCCGCAGCTTGTCTCCTGCCTCGCTGTAGCTACTTGCGCTCATGATCGCGAACCCGGCCTCCCACATCGATGGCCCGACGCCATGGCCGCAGCTCGCAGCTCGCCTCCCGCCTCGCTGCAGGTCGGCCGCACACCGCATCGAGGAGCTCCCCCGCACGCCATGGCCGACCACATGGTGGAAGGCGCCCTAATCCTCACACGCGGCACGGACAACGTTGGCCGTGGTGGGGAACGAGAGGTCGACGACCGACACCGAGAGCGCAGCGGCGACGGGGGAGGGCAACGGGGAAGGAGGTGCTCAGGCGGCTGGATGTACGGCACGGGATGTGGGACACGCCAGTCACAGCGAGGGCTTGGACGCGCACTAGCGCGACGGTTTCCATTGGAGCGGCATCTTGCTGCAGGCTTGGAGAAGACAGGAAGGAAGAAGATGACGGGTGGGACCACATGTCAGTCACATGGAGATTGAAAAAGGTAGAGGGTATTTTGGGCAATACTAGAATACAGTTAAGTGCACGTGGACCTAACGTCCTGAAAAACGTTCAAAGTGGCGCATTTCAGGCAATGGAAGAATTATAATGGCATGGTTCCGAATAGATGAATTATAATGACATATCTCAAAAGTTGTAAAATTGTAATGGCAGCGATCCAAATAACCCTTAATTAAAAGCCTGATACACGAAGTGAGGTGGTAGCTGGAGCGCTCTGGTCTATGACGTTTGGGACCAAAACAACAATAGATCAAAATAATAATTGTGAAATTTGAAAACAAAGTATCCACTTTATGTCTGATCGGACAATATTGGTCATGTTCGCTTCTCTTATAATCTGTACTTTTCAGCTTGTTTTTTCAGTCAGAACCGTATTCTGCTCTCACAACAAATCAGCTAGAACAATGTTTTAACTTTTTTTTTCCAGCGAAGCGAACGGAGTCATTAAGTGCAGAGGAACAAACTGAGTCAAGGGTGAGCTTGCCAGGTAAGGAAATAGGAGACTCGTTACCTGCAAATGAGGTGATTTGTTTATGCACGTGATTGGTCAGGTTTGTTTTTTTTTTTTTTTACTTTTGAGTAGGAGAGAGCGTCGTCGGTTCGGTCTCTGTTTCATCACGTATGAAGGAAAATAATACGGCCAAATCCAGTGCAACTGAATATTTAGATTAGGATTCACTCGTAACGTTTCCTTTTTTTAGCCTATTTTGTTTTCCTTTTTTTCTGTTTTTATCTTCCAAGCGTAATGTATCTAAACTCAATCTCATGTCTTTGCGTTCCCTATATAAAACGAATATTCACAATTCACTTATAACGTTTCCTTTTTGTTTTGGAATCGGACTCAATATCGTGCTAGATAAGAGTTACTCTAATTCATATGAGCACGGGTTATATATATATCCATACGGAAGAAACACTCTAGTGTCCGGTAGCTTGAGGTAGACGGACTAAAAAATGAATGGACGAAAAAATAGGTTGAAATTTTACCCCTTTATTATTACTAGCAAATATACTCGTCCGTTGTAACGGAAGAAAAAAAACTACTAAACATTCATGCAAAATGATAACGTGAATGTTACATATATGTT